CCCCTGCGCCAGCCCGGTAAGTGCGGGAGCGGGTAGGGGTGTTTCACCGGCGGCGTGGGGCCCGGCGGGGCGGCTGGAGGCCGAGGGCATCGCCTCAGGAGCGCGGGGCCGTGGGCGAAGGAGCCTCGAGGAAGCTGTGGGCAGGGGGGCTGGGGTCGTGCGTGAGAGGGTGGGAAGAGGGAAATATTCCTGCTCTCCTGTACCGTTTGTTCTCTCTTACTCTCCGTATCAAGGACTCTCTGTCAAAGCTGTTCGCCCGCTGCGGGCACGTCCAGTCTGTGGACATCTGTGAGAAGCCAGGGCCAGGAGAGAAAAAAGAAAAACTCGCGTCCAAATTCTTCAACCGTAAAACCGTGACGGTAAAGCTTGGCGGGGTGCTTGAGTGGTCAGAATGGAAAAAGATGAATGGTACTATTTGGAACATGAGATATGGGAAACCATTTGGGGGTATTGGGTGACGTGATTATTTATTGAAGTTTGCATAATCTTTTTTTTGTTATCCCACCGTAACTTGTGGTTTGACTTTTATTTTATTTTATTTGTACTGCAGCTCCTTGCTGCATCGCCAGTTTCCCTGGTGTATCTGACTGGTCTGGGTGTCTTTTCCTTTTAGGGATTTCAAGTAGCATACGTGGTGTTCAGGAAACCAGCTGGTGTCCAGGCAGCCAAGGCCCTGTCACGGGAAGGTCCCTTGCTGATATCAACAGAGAGTCATCCTGTGAAAACTGGCATTAGCAGTAAGTCAGCCCCAGCTATCTACCTGTTAGCTAGTGCTGGGGAAAAGCTATACCGCTTCCTCGCTGAATCCTACCCTGCATGTCTCAGATTAATTCTCATCATTTTGTACTAAGTCAGGAGACATTCAGTGTTTCATTGTCCTGCTTTTATTATTCATAAGGTAGCAATCTTGTTGCACTGGCTGTTGTAGTCTGGTCCGGTGACCCTATGGGAGGAATGGGGTCACTTGGTGCAATGAAAGGGCAGTTTTTCCTGACATCTTTTCAGTATCACATAGATTCAGAGAAACTGTCTATGTCTTGCCCTCAAAATGCAATCCAGACTCAGTAACAGGCACCAGGTGTATGTCAAGATGACAGCACTTCAGATGTGACCCATTGACAGGAACACAGCCCTGAATGTTGCGTCTCTTGGGCTTAAGGCTAGCCTGCTCCTGCTTGGGAAAGTTGTAAGCTCTTCCCATTGCTTACTGGCTATGGCCTGGGCCACAAGCTGGTTGAGGTGTGACAGTGGGGAGGCTGAACAGAAATGGGAGCAAAGCGTATCCTTCCACACAGCAGTTCTCTCGAGCTGCCCAAAGGCATCACGCTTGGGCTTGCTTCTAACATAAACTTTTGTCCTCTGTGTCTCAGAGTGGATTGCCAACTATGCAGCCTCAGTTGTGGATCAGGAGGAGCTGAAGGCCGAGGTGGACACCTACATGCAACAGTATGACAAAAAGATAGCAGAGGTGAGGCCAGGCTGGGGAGGGAACCCAGCGAAGCAATCTGTTTGGGGAGAGGAAGGGAAGAGAGATCTCTTGGTGCCCTGGCCTCAGTGGAATGGGCAGAGGGAAACAGACTGGGTGGTGGGGTTGTTTTACTCCCAGTTGCTGGTGGTCAGTCAGGTTCTGGTTTGGTCCACAACACCTTGAACCCTTCCACCCAGGGCTTACAATAGGTAACCACAAATAAATTGGGTCCCAGCTGGTGTGCAGTGTTGTGACTGAGTTGAATACCCATGCCCTTCATCCCACACCTTCCTTCAAATCTTGTGCAGAAGCAGGAGCTGTAGCTTTGCCTGTGTGTAAGGGGGACTGCGGGGGAGCTGTGCATCAGGCTGCTGGCAGCCTGTCTGCACTGGGCTGCCTCACCCTCCTGTCTTCACAGGAAGAAGCCAAAGCGGCCAAGGAGGAGGGAGTTCCGGATGAGGAGGGCTGGGTGAAGGTAACGCGGAAGGGACGGAAGCCTGGCCTGCCCCGGACAGAGGCTGCCAACCTGCGAGTACTGGAGAGGGAAAAGCAGAAGAGGGCCCGCAAAGAGCTGCTCAACTTCTATGCCTGGCAGCATCGTGAGACCAAGAGAGAGCGTGAGTGTCCGAGTCTCCTCCTACCCCCGCCCATGTCTCTTGTCTCTCGCACTGTGGCCCAGAGAGCCTCCTTTTTCCTTCAGTGGAGGCTATGTCCAGCTGCAGGTGAGCAGTTGGCTGGATGGTTGTGCAAATGGCCTTGCCAGCCCTTGGGTGCCACTTGCCACCACCTGTCCTAGCAAGGGCTGCCGCAGTATTTTGTGGGAGAGTATGCAGGTCGTGGCTTTACAATAGCCTGCACGAAGGCAGCAATAGAAAGGGAAAAGTAGCCTGCTTCCTCCCCAAGGGGGAGCTGCAGCACTGCTGGAGGTGAGCAGCCAGAGCCCCAGCTTGGCACCCAGCGAGGTGCAAAAGGACCTGCTCTGGGAAGTGCGCGTTTGTGAGTGTCAGGAATGAGCCCGTCCCAGTGTATGGATGTGAAACTCCCCGGGAGAGGGAGATCTGCTGCTCCCATGTGACCTGTCCTCTTTCTGCCTGTTTCAGACATCGCCCAGTTGAGGAAGAAATTTGAGGAGGACAAGCAGAGAATTGCGCTGATGCGAGCCCAGCGCAAGTTTCGGCCGTACTAAGGTGTGCTGAGCTATTCCTCAGATGTCTGCGGACTCCATGTGCCAAAGGATTTCAAGGAACTGAGGTGACTTCAGGTTGCCTCTGCCTTTGGATCTGAAGTTGGAGATCCCAGCAACCACCGCTGGAGGGGGAGTTTCCTTCACTCGCACCGGTATCCTCCTGCTCTCCTGGCCATTGTCCAGCCCTGTGGCACCACTTCCGAGGGTGCTCAGGTCAAAGGGCTGAGGCACTTCCTGTGACAACCTGTATCTCCTGGCCATCCAAGGCACTTTGAAAGCTTGGTGAGAGCTGGGATTGACCTACCACAGCCTCTGCAGGGACAGGGAATGGCTGAAGAACTGTAAATAAACTACTGCTATGTTCTCAGAACATGGGAGTGCCTCCCTCTCTCCTGTGGTCTGCTGTTGGGGGACAGCTTCTTGTGTGCTGGGGTGGCGATTAAAGTCATGGCTTGTGTGCAGGTGCTCCTTTGCACATGTTATCTGGGGATGAGTAAGACGAGGAGGGAGATGACCTCGGGAAAAGCCCAACTGGGAAGTTCCCAGACCTGTTGTCACAAGCTGAGTGGTGTGATAGAGCCCTACCCCTTCCCTTGGTGTTTCCCTCCCAGGCAGCTTCCTCTCAGCCAGGTGTTGAGGTGTCATCCTGGCTTGTGTCAGCAATAGTGTGGCCAGCAGGAGCAGGGAAGTGATCGTGCCCCTGTACTCCACACTGGTGAGGCCACGCCTCAAATGCTGTGTTCAGTTTTGGGCCCCTCACTACAGGAAAGACATTGAGGTGCTGGAACATGTCCAGAGGAGAGCAACAAAGCTGGTGAGGGGTCTGGAGCACAAGTCCTGTGAGGAGCAGCTGGGGGCACTGGGGTTGTTTAGCCTGGAGAAGAGGAGGCTGAGGGGAGACCTTATCGCCCTCTACAGCTGCCTGAAAGGAGGCTGTAGCGAGGTGGAGGTCAGTCTCTTCTCCCAGGTAATGGGTGATAGGATGAGGGGAAATGGCCTCAAGTTGCACCAGGGCAGGTTTAGGTTGTTAGGAGAAATTTTTTCACAGAAAGTGTTATCAGGCATTGGAACAGGCTGAGTCCCCATCCCTGGAGGCATTTAAAAGACGGGTAGACAAGGTGCTTAGGGACATGGTTTAATGGTGGGATGGCAGCGTTAGGTTAATGGTTGGACTTGATGATCTTAAAAGATCTTTTCCAACCTAAACGATTCTATGAGGTGCTCAGTCTTCCAGCTGTGTGTGGACCTCTACAGCCATGTCCAACCTGGCCTGTGGGAACTTCTGCTGTTTAGCACCATTGCTAAAACAAGGTGAGATGGCAGCCTGGCTTTGGAGGGAGAAACCAGACTCCCACCAAGACCTGTTTCCACTTAACCTGTCACCAGCCCGCAGGAGGCAGGTGAGGATGGCGACAGGCACACCCAGCTGTGGGGCAGTGCTCTTGTACTGCCCACATTAACATTTGTGCAGTTTAGGATTTAATAGTTGTTCACCCTATGGCACTCTGTGGTCAGAAAGGGGCCGTAACCCACCCACCCCCAAGCTTTTACACATTTATTTCACTGCCTGCAGCCTTGATACGGTGTGACCATGAGTGTAAGGTGGAAATGCTGGTAAATTCCACAGAGCTGGGTTAAAATGGATTTAGCCTCCCCTAGAAAACCCACTGCAAATGCAGCTTCCATTGCATGGGGACACTGCCAGGCCTGCTGGCTTCTGTTAGTTTTTTGTGTCAGTTTAACTAGGAGGCAGATGGATCTTTAATATGCTGTACCTAAAGCAGAATGCATGTAAAAATCACTGCCTCCTAAGACAAGGTGATGCATGGGTGAGCATCCCAGAAGAAAGGAGGTTCACTTTCCTATACAGTCAAGAAGACAGAGTTAACACTGGGAGATTAATCTTTATTTAGAAGGACAGAAAACATCTCTGCCAACTTTTCCATTATTAGTAGTTCTTCCAGCTGCTTCAGCTAGAGGATTAGTGACTCATTCCCTAGCTCATTGAAATGGCCTTCTGTGCCCAGGTGAGCCCTTATTTAAGCTGATTTTTAAACAAGCAGTAGCTCTCAGGGTAGAACAGAGACACTGATGCCCTCCTGTGCTCAGGCACCCATGGTAGTAAGCAGGGAAGCAAAACACTTCCCTGTTTTTTCAGTAGGTCTAACCCCGGGAGGAGGCTGGCTGCGCCATCCTTGGGGAGGAAGTGAGGTGAGCCTCTTGCCATGCTACAGCTGGGGCTGCTGCTGCTCCCACAGAGGCTGCCTCTGCCTGTATTCCTGCTCCAGGGTGCAAGTTGGGAGCAAGCAAGAGGAAGGCCACTCTGGGCCTCTATCCTTCTCACAGAGTTGGAAGTGGAGGAGGGAATTCCTTTTCCCTTTGACAACTGAGATACTTCGCGCCTGCTCCAGGGTGCAAGTTGGGAGCAAGCAAGGGGAAGGCCGCTCTGGGCCTCTATCCCTCTTCTCACAGAGCTGGAAGTGGAGGAGGGAATTCCTTTTCCCTTTGGCAACTGAGATACTTCGGGTCACCCTCCTCCAGGGAACCCCCAGCAAACCCGCTTCCACCCTGCAGTGAGCTAAGCTTAGGAAAAAGAATCATGAAACTAATGTTGGATGTGAGGTAGGAATGGTGACAATTGCCCTAGAGCCTGCTTTTTAGTTCCCTGTTCTCCTGGACTGCTGCAGCAGTGATCCTTCTTCCTACAGCCTGGCATTCTGCGTCGTCAGGAAGTTGCTGATGATCCCAGACACCACCTTGGGCTCATTCAGGTGTACAAAATGACTCCCAGGCACCTCTACTAGCTGGATGTGCTGGAGGGAGAAGACACAAGAAGATGCGGAACAGGAAAGCGATCCCTCAG